TGGCTCAGGTCATGATCTCATGGTTTGTGAATTCGAGCCCTGCATTGGGCTCTGCGCTGACAGCACAGAGCCTGCCTGGGATTCTCTCTCTTTCTCTCTCTCTGCCCCTCCTCTGCTCTCTCTCTCTCTCAAAATAAATAAATTTTAAAAATAGATAACTGTGATTAATTAAAGAAGCATTTGGGAACTCTAGGACAACCATTAAAAGAACTTTAAATAAGGTTTAATGGTAAGCTAATTGTGGATACAAAATAGAGTAAAAAAAATATGCAACCAAAAAAGTGAAAAAGAAAGAAAAATGAATAAGGAATAGATGGAACAAATAGAAGACAAGTAGCTATATGTAAGATTTAAATCCAACTATTTGGGGTGCCTGGGTGGTTCAGTTGGTTAAGCGTCTGACTTCGGCTCAGGTCATAATCTTGCAGTTCGTGGTGCAGCCACTCTGGAAAAGTTTGGAGGTTCCTCAAAAAATTAAAAATAGAACACCCTATAATCCAGCAATTACACTATTAGGTATTTATCCAAAGGATACAAAAATGCTGATTTGAAGGAGCACATGCACCCCAATGTTTATAGCGACACTATTGACAATAGCAAAATTATGGGAAGAGCCCAAATGTCCATCAAATGACGAATGGATAAAGAAGATGTGGTATATATATACAATGGAATATTACTTGGCAATCAAAAAGAATGAAATCTTGCCATTTGCAACAACACGGATGGAAATAGAGTGTATTATGCTAGGTAGAATAAGTCAGAGAAAGACAAATATATGATTTCACTCATATGTGGAATTCAAGAAACAAAACAGATGAACACAGGGAAAAGGAAGTGAAAATTAAGATAAAAAACAGAAAGGGAGACAAAACATAAGAGACACTAAATTCTATTCCTTAAAAAAAAAAAAAAAAGATAAAATGAATGATTGCAAAAAAAAATTGACCACATATGTGCAGGTCTATTTCTGGACTATCTATTCTGTTCTATCGATTTACATCTATACCAGTACCACACTGTTTTGGTCACTATAATTTTATAAATCTTAAAACCAATGTAATAAAGCTATCCTTTTTCAATACCAGAAATAGTAAACTTTTACTTGCCAAAAGAGAAAAAAAGCCCAATTCTGAGCCCAGAGTGATCAGGGATCTCCTAGGAGATCAGGGCTTTCTGGATTTTAAGCAAAACTATGGCATTTTAGATGCCATGAGTTATAGAGAAAGTTTATGTCCCAGTAAGCAGTTTGCATTACAAAATAATTTCCTTACCCCAAAATACCAGGCTCCCACAATTCTCCACTTTCATATCAATGCCCATGTACCTTTGGGCAGAATTCAGCTCTTCTTCCTCCACATGACCGAAGTCCATTTCCTCATCCTTGACTGTCACCAATTCCTGGAAGAACAAGCATATTCTTTAATTTATGTTTATTTATTTTTGATAGAGACAGAGCACAAGTGGGGAGGGCAGAGAGAGAAGGAGACAGAATCGGAAGCAGGCTCCAGGCTCTGAGCTGTCAGCACAGAGCCCAATGCAGGGCTTGAACCCATGGACCGTGAGATCATGACCTGAGCCGAAGTCAGACACTCAACTGACTGAGCCACCCAGGCGCCCCAAGAACAAGCATATTCTTATAGAACTTGGGGAGGAGAACAATCTATAAGAGACAGTATTTTTTAATATGACGGTTAAACCTTTATTTTAATGGAACAGTCTAAGATTTCTATGTATTAGTCTGTATTAGGGAAAATAGTAACAGCTAATACTTATATTTTCTATGTGCTGAGCCCTTTGAACTACCTCTTGTAATGATAACTTCATGAGATAAGTACTATTATTAACAGCATTTACAGATGTGAGGATCAGATATGACATCTGGACCCAGACATCTGTCTGGCTCCAAAGCTATACTCTTTTGGTTCTTTTTTTTTTTTTTTTAATAGAACAACGTATTTTATTTCATTTCATTTCATTTTATTTTATTTTACTTTACTTTAGAGAGAAGAGCATGAGTAGGAGAGAGGGGCAGAGGGAAAGAATCTTAGGCAGGATCCATGCTCAGAGCAGAGCCTGATGTGGGGCTCAATCCCCCGACCCTGGGATCCTGACCTGAGCTGAAATCAAGAGTCAGACGCTCAATCAACTGAGCCACCCAGGCACCCCATATACTCTTTCTTTAAATTCAAGTATAGTTGACATAAAGTATATTAGTTTCAGGTGTACAACATAGTGATTTGATAGCAAAGCTACCCTCTTTCCTATATTTTTCTGTCTCTCACATATTTTACTAAATAAATCTAATATAAATTAACCACTGGGGGGGCGTCTGGGTGGCTCAGTCAGTTGAGCGTCGGACTTTAGCTCAGGTCATGATCTCGCGGTCCATGGGTTTGAGTCCCCGCGTTGGGCTTTTTGCTGACAGCTCAGAGCCTGGAGCCTGCTTCGGATTCTGTGTCTCCCTCTCTCTCTGCCCCTCCCCTGCTCATGTTCTGTCTCTCTCTCTGTCAAAAAAACAAAAACAAAAAAAAATTTAACCACTGAATGACAACCAAATGTCAATTACTAATTGCACTTAGTTGTTGTAGATGGGGTAAGTCTCAGATATGTAATTTATACTGATTCCTGAAATATTCTGAGATTTTATAGAGCTTCTGCTTGATATCCTGAATGTATACAGATAGTCATGCTGTTCTTCCTTCTCTGTACTTAGGGTCATGACTTTTAGATTTATCTAGTTATCTTTTAGTAATTGCAGTTGTTCTGAATGAGTGGATTTACTGATTTTATGTTTTTTAAGTTTATTTACTGATTTTGAGAGAAAGACCATATGCACATGAATGGGGAAGGGGCAGAGAGAGGGGGAGAGAGAGAATCCTAAGTAAGCTTCACGCTGTCAGCACAGAGCCCAGCAAAGGGCTCAGTCTCAGGAACTGTGAGATCATGACCTGAGCCAAAATCAAGAGTCGGATACTTAACCAACTGGGCCACCCAGGCACCTGAAATTTACTTTTTATGTATGTATGTATGTATGTATGTATGTATGTATGTATGTATTTTGGATTTACTGATTTAAAAATAATTTTTTTATGTTTTTTATTTATTTTTGAGAGACAGACCATGAGTGGGGGAGGGGCAGAGAGACAGGGATACACAAGATCCCAATCAGGCTCCAGGCTCTGAGCTGTCAGCATGGAGCCCAACATAGGGCTCGAATTCACAAACCATGAGATCATGATCTGAGCTGAAGTTGGACGCTTAACCTACTGAGCCACCCAGAGGCCCCTAAAAAAAATTTTTTTTAACATTTATTTATTTTTGAGACAGAGTGTGAGCAGGGGAGGGGCAGAGAGACGGAGACACAGAATCCAAAGGAAGCTCCAAGCTCTGAGCTGTCAGCACAGAACCTGACGTGGGGTTCAAACCCACAAAGCATGAGATCGTGACCTGAGCCAAAATCGGCCACCCAACCAACTGAGCCACCCAGGCACCCCCACAAGATTTTATGTTTAAGTAATTTCTACACTCAACGTGGGTCTCAAACTTACATCCCTGAGATTAAGAATCGCATGCTCCACCGACTGAGCCAGCCAGGAGCCGCTGTGAGCCTCAGTTTTACTGTGAAATAAGCATCACTCCTAACTCACATGATTTCTTGTTTAAAATAAATGAAGCTATGTTTGAAAAGTGGCTCTAAATGTTAGAGTTCCCCAGAGCTCAGTTGTTAGACATCTTCTCTTCTCCATCCATTCTTACATGCCTATAAGCAACCTGTTATTTCTCCCATCTTAAAAAAATAAAAAATAAAAACCCTCTTTGGTCTTGCTACTGCTTCCGCTATCACCCCATTTCTGTCCTCTGCTTTAGCGTAAAACTCTCCAAAATGGCTGTCAGTCATCCCTGCTTCCAACTTCTCTCCTATTCTCTTCTGAACCCTTTCCGATCAGGCTTTCATTCCTACAACTCCATGACATTGTTCTTGGCAGTGACCAGTGATCTTCATATTTTTAAATCCAATGGTCAATTTTCAGGCCTCATCTTACTTGACTTAGCAGCAGTATTTAACAGCTGATCACTCCCTGCTCCTTTTAAACACTTTCTCCAATTGTTTACCAGGATGCCAAACTTTTGACTTCCTACCTCACTGGCCACACTGGCCACATCTTCTCAGTATCCTTTGCTGGTTCCTCTTCATCTCCCTGATCTCACAGTGTTGGAGAGCTCAGTCATAAAATCTCATCTCTTTTCTATTCCCTTGGTTTTGTGATTTAAAATACTGTTCACACAGACTACTACCAAAATCAGTGCTCAAGCCTGAGCTCTCCCCAGACCTTCAAGTCTTCAAGGAAAAATTACTTTGGTTCAGTTCTCTAGTTGGGATTGCCGTGGACCTCCAAAGCAAGATGAAAAAAGCAAATGACACACTGTGAACTCCAAGCTAAGATTTCATATGAGGAAATCAAAGACTTGCCTGGAACTCAACAGGAAGGAGCTCAACAGTGGGTTCCATTTCTTCCGTGTTCTGTTTTTGGGGCAGAGAAACATCCTCGGTAGTAATGGCTGGAAGGACTAGAGGGAGAAGAAAAAGCTATGAAGGAGGTAAGCTCTATTTCCCCACTTCCAAATTCATTAGGACAAAAGTTATCACAAGCCAGGTAAATTGTATACACAGGGCCCACTTGACTTCACTCCAAAAGGTGGGATGAGGGTACAATAAGATGATAAAGTGAAAGTCTGTTGCCCAAAAAGCTAAGCTTATAGACCCACAATACATCAACCTTTTATAATAGCCTAACAGGGGGTGGAAAATGGAATATTCTCTCTTCCATGGCTGCAGAGCGAATGTGGATGGGCACAGGAGTGCTGAAAGAGGAAAATGGGACTGGAGAATGTGTCACAAGGAGCCTGCTTAGTGATTTCCAAAATTGGTCGCTTACTGAGTTTCTCTACTTGGGGACATGTCTGCTTCCATTTCCTTTCATGCAGGGGCATCTAACCTTTTAATTCTCATCAAAGGTGTTTTTCCACTTGTCCCCACGTTCAACTTCATGTTTATTTCTGTAATTCTTACCTTCTTCCTCAGCTTCAATGGTCAGATAATCCATGATTAGATTCTCTTTTTTTTGTCCTGTTATTGCTATGATTTCTCCTTTATTCGCTGTTTCAGATGAGATAAACATGGACTTTCCAACAATACATAATCTGCTTCTTTGTGAAAATCATTCAACTCTACTCTGAAGTTCTGGAGAGAGATTTTGAAGTTAGGCTTGCCATCCTGTGGAGTTGGTTCCTGCTCCCTGGGGCATCTTCCTCTCTATCTCTATTCCTAGGAGGCTTATTCCTATGTGTTTAAGTCTTAGGGCCTCAGAAGTAATTCTTCTTTGCTTGTAACCTTTATTATTTAGGCTAAATTAGTCTCCACAGCTAGAAGAGCATTCTCTAGAGTACTGATATCAGTCACTATATGCCAAACCAGGGCAAATCCAGGAGAGAATCAGTGAGTGAACTGTGAGCCTCACACCTGGCTCCAGACTGGGCAGAAACACCCAGGAGACCCTAAAGCACACAACTGGCTATAAAACAGCCTGTGATTATAGCATCAGGTAACTATAAAAGCAGGACTCCCACAGTTCATTCATCCTTACTATTCATAGAGACAGGCAGTTGATAGATGGGGCCTGTATACAGCTGATTCCTAACCTTTTTAAAAGACCCCAAAAATGTACAGGCCAGGATTCCCTTGCATGGTCAGAGCGAGAACAAAAGACTTCAGTAATAACTGACAGTAATAACTGACAGACAGTAACTGGCAGACAACATGGGTTCCCTCATGTCAAGGAAGAAAAACTAAACTTTAAACCAGGCTGAATGACCAGGAAGAACAAAACGAGTCGGTACAGCCTAAGGGGACAAGCTGACACAAAATTCAACAGAATTTGCAAAAAAGACACCTGCAGCACATCCTGTTGAATGGCTGCCACATCTTGATACTCCCACCAGAAATAATTTATTAACTGTATCCTGCTTGCACTTGAAATGCGTGGTTTGGGACTTGAGCCTGACCAATCTTTGTAAAGGGCACGGAACTTGCGGTTTGTGCCTGTTTAACCGCAGGCTGAATCCTTCCCCTTGGAAGCGTACTCTTGGCTTGTAGCCAAAGGCTGCGTCCTTTGGGGAATGAGTAAGACACAGACCCCACTTTTTTTCTTTCTGTCCCAGGAGTTCAGGTTAAGGCTCTTAGTGCAGTGGCAAGATTTAATGCCCAAAGCGGCGGGAGCAGTCGCGCTCCCACAGTACTCCGCTCGGTCACGCCCCCTCCACGCTCCCGGACTCCACTTCCCAGAGGGCTTAGGGGCAACCGCGCTTCCCGGACGCCTCCTGGCTCAGAACTAAAGCCTCAGACCCGGCTTGCCTCCCAGCCGGAGAGAAGCGGGAGGGTTACGCACAGCACCGGGGAGCGGGCATAGGACGAGGGCAGGGCCGGCCCTTTATGTGCCGGCCGGAACCTGAGAGCCTGGCCCGGGCTGCTGCGGGAGGCACTGCAGCCGCGCGCACGGACCGGCGGGTCGCCGACGCACGCGCCTCATGGTCCAGCTTTCTCTTACCCCTGGACGCGCTGCCCACTCGGCTCCGGCCACAGGGCGGGTCCCCGCCGGGCTGCGCTCTGGGAAAGACGGAGGGGAGGACGGAGTCGCTTTCCGGACACACGGAGCTGTGGGGGAACAAAAGGCTCGAGCCTGAGGCTCCGTCTGGAGTCGCATCTGCGCACTTGGAGGCGACCGCGCCAGGTCGGGGGTCCCGGCGGAAGGACTCCACTTCCCAGAGGGCTCGGGGACATCGGTGCCTGCCCTCGGGGGGAGGGGGGGGCTCTGGAGAGCGAGGGGAGAGAACTGCAGGCCTTCAGTGTCAACCTTAAAATGCAGATATTTCCTCATCTGATAGATCTCCTTTCTGAATACAGTGAGAATCTGTCGTTTAAAAGCTCCAAGTATTTTCAGCGTTGGATTATTAATTGGTGGTGGTGTGGGGATACACCTGTTACACAGTCTTTTTCCCTAGTATTTCTCGTTCTTACAATAAAGCCCCGAGTCTGCAAACTCACTGCTAGTGATTTCGTTGAAAGCATTCTGATAAGTAAAAACCACAGGCAGGGGTGAGAAGCCATTGTCCTGGTTCATATAAAATAAACATGAATAGGAAGGAATTCACAAGGAAAAGTTAGATGTGAGAAAAAGGCAAGTAGGGAGGTTGGGCTTTGAAGTGGGGATTGTGCCGACCTGGAGTTTATGAACATTGGTACTGGATGGAAGTCAAAGAGCAACCAGAGGAAAGATACTTCTTTTTCTTTGTTTATAAAGGCTCGAGGCTGTAGTTCCAGTTCTTCACCAGGAGAAACCAGTTGTATCACGTGTCCTTGCGGTCCAAATTACCAGCCACCTGAATAGTTCCTCCACATCTAATCGTGCCTTTCCCAATCCATGCTATTCATGACAGCCAAAATGAACGTTTAAAAATTAAATCTGGGGAGGGGCGCCTGGGTAGCTCAGTCGGTTAAGCATCTGACTTTGGCGCAAGTCATGATCTGGCGGTTTGTGAGTTCAAGCCTGGTGTCAGGCTGTGTGCTGACAGCTCGGAGCCTGGAGCCTGCTTGGGATTCTGTGTCTCCCTCTCTCTTTCTGCCCCTCCCCTGCTCGTGCTCTGTCTCTCTGTGTCTCAAAAAAAAAAAAAAAAAAAAAAAATTAAATCTGGGGGGCGCCTGGGTGGCTCAGTTGGTTAAAGGTCTGACTCGGTTTCAGCTCAGGTCATGATCTTGCAGTTCGTGGGTTCCAGTCCGCATCAGGCTCCGCGCTGATCATGTAGGGCCTGTTTGGGATTCTCAATCTCTCCTCTCTGCCTCTCCCCTGCTCTCTCTCTAAATTTAAGAAAAGAAGAGAAGAGAATTAAATCTGTTTATGTCGCTTTCCTCAGAACCCTTCAGTGACTTCCCTCTGCTCTGGAATAAGACAAACTCCTTAGCACAATTTATAAAACCCTACATAATCTGGCTGTGCCAATCCTGAATTACCTGCTACTATCTTCCTTTCATTCTCGAAACTCCTCTATTACATAGGCTTTTTAGTAACTCACACATCCCAAATTCTTTGCTGTCCTTTACACATTCCCTTTATTTAGAATCTCTCTCTACCATCCTTCAGATTTCAGTTCAAAAGTCATTTCAGGCAAGCTTTCCCTGAACTCCTTCCCCTTAATTCAAATTGATTTTCTCACAGAACCTTGTTCATTCTCTTTGTAGACTTGCCACAATTTGTAATTATACATTTATTTTTTTCTGCTACATTTTTAATGTATACCTTCCTTACTTGATGGTAAGCTCCATGAAGACAGAGACCATGCATATTTTGTGCATCACTGTCCCAGTGTCAAGCACAGATCCTTGTCAACAAAGTTGAGTGCTGAGAAGATGTCATTCCACGATTATGAATCCCAGCTTCAGCTAGGTCCTAGCATAATTTAGCAGTCCTTTGTTTATCCATAGCTATCTCCTTTTATAAGTGGTTGTCTCCCCTTCTGACTCCATTCTGAGCAGCCATTCCAGATACTGCTTTACTAAACTCTACTTCATGACCAACCCCTCTCTCTTAGTCAATGAGTTCACCACCATTTATTTCACAGAACAATGACAGGTTTTCAGGTAGGCATAAATCCAACTTTGGGTTAATTTTATGTTTCTACTTTAGGGGGTGACAAGATAGTTGGTAAAACATTTCTTGGTGTCTCGGTGAGGATGTGTCTGGAAGAGATTATAATGCATTTGAATTGGTAGGCAGAGTAAAGAAGATGTTCTCATAAATGCTAGTGGGCATCATCCAATCCATCAAGGGTCTGAATAGAATAAAAGGACAGAGGAAGGACATATTTGCTCTCTCTGCTGGACCTGAGACATCCATCTTCTGCCCTTGGACATTAGCACCCCTGGTTGTTGGGTCTTCTGACTTGGACTGGAATTTACACCATTAACTCCCCTGGTTCTAGGCGTGGACTAGAACCTATTACCAGCTTTCCTGGATCTCTAGCTTGCAGATGGGACTTCAGCCCCACAATTGCAGGAGCCAATCCCTAATCATAAATCACATTTTATCTATCTATATATTTCCTATGGGTCCTGTTTCACAGAAGAATTCTGACTAATAAAACTTCCCTGTACTCAATCCCAAAGTCATGGAGTATCTAAAATATTTGGGAATGGGGCGCCTGGGTGGCTCAGTCCATTGAGTGTCCGACTTCGGCTCAGGTCATGATCTCTCGGTCAGTGAGTTCGAGCTCTACGTCGGGCTCTGTGCTGACAGCTCAGAGCCTGGAGCCTTTTTTGGATTCTGCCTCCCTCTCTCTTTGTCCCTCCGCTGCTCACGCTCTGCTCTCTCTGTGTCTTAAAAGTGAATAAACGTTTAAAATTTTAAAAAATATACATTTGGGAAGTGGAAGGAGGCACCGATTACATCAAGGGTGTCTTTCCTTAGGTGTATCTTAACCACGCCTAGAGTTATTACATTATTGTTCAAAATCTTTGCTGCCCCTCCTTGCAAGAGGATCATACTTTCCTGCCCAGTTGAATTCAGGCTTGGATCTGTGACTTGCAATAACCTTCCCTTGAGAGACAGAGCCATCCTTTTCTGTTTAAGAGTCAGATTCTAGTCTGCCATTTCTTTCCCCTCTGCCATGAGACTTAGAATATCTCATATAAGACTGTTCCATCAGTCTGGGTTCTGGAGTGCAGACATGGACACCTAGCATGAGTAGGAAAGACACCCTGCTTGTTGTCACTGAGAATTTTCAGGTTGTTTGATTCTATAGCATAACCTAGCTCATACCTTCAGAGATGCCTTCTGAGCACTTTTTGGGCAATACTTTTCAAATGAATGTATGCTTGTTTATCTTGTTTTATTTTTTAAGTTTATTTATTTTGAGAGAGAGAGCAGGGTAGGGGCAGAGACAGAGGGAGAGAGAGAATCCCAAGAAGGCTCTATGCTGTCAGCATGGAGCCCAAACTGGGGTTCAATACCACAAACTGTAAGGTCCTGACTTGAGACAAAGTCAAAAGACCAAC